TAGCTATCCTGAGGGAAACTTCGGAGCGAACCAGCTACTAGATGGCGCGACTGGTCTTTCGCCCCGATAACCAGGTATGACGAACGATTTGCAATTCAGAAGCTGCGGCGCAATCTGTGGCAAGGCGTTGGTTGGCTTCCCTCGCCAGCGATTGTTGGGGAAAGAGTGGCTAAGAGTGGAGGAGCCCGGCCGAAGGCCATCTCCAAGTTTTGGTGAGGTGTCCAAGCATGTCGCAGCTTTTGCTCAGCTGCACCTCCTTCACTCTGGTGTCGGATCGTCGTGAAGAGTTGCTTCATCTGCATGTTTATTAGTTCTCCTGAGAGGCCCGTAGAAGCCGCTCTTGCCCGCTCGCTAGAAGCGTCGAGAGGCGGAGGGCTGCAAAACTTGTCCCTTCACAGTCTCCGAGATCCCGGCGAGTTGTTGGCACTGTTACAGTCGGCATCGCTTTGCCAACTGCCTCCGGAGGCCGTCTGCTCAGCACATGTAGGGTTGCTGTAGAGCCTCACGGAAAGCACACTCACAGCCGCTTGTGCCAAAAGCATCCGACCAAGTTCTCGACCCGACAATCGCCGCTTCCTTAGATGGATTCAACATGTAACATGACTCAACCCAATTCAACTGACCTCGACCCTGGTGCAGATGCGAAGAGATGAGGCAATTCCGTCGCAACACCTATGCTTGCAAACCGAAGACCTTGACGGGTGCTGCAGAGTTTACAGCTGGGGCCAACCTGCACCTGTGCATTGTGAATTCACATGCAACCTCTGCGACCTAACCCGTTGTGGTGTTTGCATGGCCAGACCAGAACTACAGCACTGAAGAACACAACATGTCTGCAGCCAAGGATAACTCAGAAGGTACATTGCGCGGAACACCAGATCCCACAAGTACAGGTTGGAAGGTACGAGTACCTTGTTGAGTATGGCTGACCACGCAGGGCAGCCCGTACTTACTTGCAAGCCTCAAAGCACTGCCAAGTTTCGGCCCAAGGCTTGACGTCAGCGAATGTGTGGATGCTGTCGAAGTTCTGCAAGGGAACGAAGCGAGAACGTGCAGGGAAGAGGTTGCCGCGCTCGTGCGGGGGCGCGGGCGTGCGGTGAAGAATGGTGGAGAGCAAAGCGGAACAAATCTAGAGTCCTTGAGGTTGTCGTCCCTGGAGAACATGACGTCCAAGGCACTTTCTTGCAGAGTGGCCTCCGACAAACAAGCGCTTTCCGACAAAATAACGTGGCTGAGATGCCACACCTTGGATGCAAGAAAGCTGTCAACACCTCGACCCTGCAAGGTCATTAAGGTGATCCACACCTGAGTGAGGACAATCGCATACATTCGCACAGACACAAGCCACAAGCCACCGGGAAGTACTGAGACCATGACGGCCATGAAAACCTCATCACTCTTGCAACAGAAAAGGGAAGCGCACAGTTTCTCAAAGAGCTACTGTTCGCAACTTCGACCACCTTTTGAGCCGACCCGTGCAGGGCTATGTTCTGTCATGGTAGCTTGCGTTATTTGAGGGTGAAATGACAGACTGAGCTGAGATATTGGCGATCATGCTTGTGAAGCCCACCAGATTCCTTCGAAGCCGTTGCTCTGGATCATGTTGAACCTGGCATGCAACAGAGTTAGCGATCCCTCTTTCGCAAAGAACAGGCATTGCCATTGTCAGAACTACTTCATGTTCTACAACAGCGCCGAACAAAACATCTCAGCGCAAGGTGGGTGATATCACCCCTGCTGGCTGCCCCATTCACTCAAGTGTTGGAACCCTCGCCAAAACTTTTTTAACAGAACCAACAGTACTAACATGAGTTAGCCGTGCAGATGCCGACTTGTCCTGGGATAAATAAACACCAGCTCGAACCCTGAAACGGGCCACTTCATCCGCCGAGGCCAGAGGCCCAGGCGTCTTGGGGGTTACCTCAAGTACCCTCCACCTGCAGCCAAACGGTTGGACCCAACCGCTTTTTGCGTCCATTTTCCACCCCCTCGCCCGCCTTCCCTTGATTTTACCTGACTTGTGCTGCCTCTGTTGTTTTCTGTCTGCATGTTCTGTTTTTAGCTCTTCTCTGTGTGCTGCAAGACTCAGCTCCTGCTTGTTTGCCCGCCCACCTTTCTTGTTCCGGCTCCTTGGACGGCACGGCTGGACAGGCCTGAAGAGTACGAAGAAACAGAAGCACAGCTTGGGACCAGCTTGGCTTAGGTAACAGCCAGGTAACATTTGAAGAAGCCGTTAGTGCAGTGGGCAGGCGTCTTGGGGGTTACCTCAAGTACCCTC